TCGGCATGTGAATCAAGGGTAGATTCATTCCTTGTTGATATGATTCGATGATAATTTTTTTTTCTGATCAGATGCATATGAGGGAGAATGGAATGGAGATGTGTGATTGTTTTAACTACCCCCCCCCCCCCCCCCCCCCCCGGTACCAAATAAAGAATCTCCCCCTTTTTTGCAAAAGATCGGGAAAAGTTAAAGAGATCCAAGATCCGAGTTGAGTGAGTGATGCGGGATCTCCTTAACTATTCCCCCTTTTGCAAAAGAGCGGGGGATTCGTTGGTAGGTACAAAATTTACATCTGTTTATCCATAAAATCATTTCTCTAAAAGGGTGCCATTTACCAGGTACCTAGGGGGTGGAATAGTTAAAGAGATCCGAGATGTGTTTAGGGTGTTATGTTTGAATTGGGCAAAGAGGTGGGTGCTCTGATTGTGTTTGCCGAGCACAGGTACTATGGGGAGAGCAAGGTTAACGACAACAAAAACTTCACTTATCTCTCGGGTCAGTATGTACTCTTTAGTTCATCAAAGACAATTTTTGGGTGAACCGAAGCACCATTACACTTAAAAACAACCTGTTTTTGGAAGACTAAACCAACTCTAAATTTTTCTTGCAATTGCTATGGCCATTTCTACTCAATTTGCGCTATAGAACTGAAATTTTGCACATGACGAAGCTTGCATTTTTGATGAGCACTGGTATGCAGTGAAATATCAGCTTGAAGTGTTTTTTTTCTCATGAGCAAAAAATCCATTTTTGTTTCATAGTTTCATTATGAGGCTAAACTGTGCACTGCCCGCACTGACGATCTTGCAATTAAAGCCGACGGAAACTTCAATGCAGATAAATTAAAAGAAGTCGATTTACGATAGCCCATTCAGATACGTAAATTGATTTACAATAGATTGATTTGACTTTTACGGTTAAAAAATTGATTTTATTGCCAAAAAATGAAAACAAAAAATCGATTTAAACCGATTAAAATCAATTTTGTTGTTACTAAAATTTGAATGAAATTGAAACTAAATTAAGTTGAAAAAACTGGATTTATTTCGATTTCGAAAAGATTGAAATAGATTTTTAAACTATATTTTCGTATCAAACTAAAATGATTTTAAATCGATTCAGATAGATTTTCTAGGTTTTTGCTACGTTATCTGTATAAAATCGATTGCAATCCATTTTTGTCAGTAGGGATGGATTGTAATCGATTTTATACAGACAGCTTAGAAATGACTTAAAAAATCGATCTGAAAATCGATTTTTGTCAGTAATCACAATTTAGAGTTTGTAAGGAATCCAGAGAAAAATCTTTAAGCATTTGTCGGACGGTTCAAACAAAACGAAAAAACTAGGAAGATCAAAGAGAACGTCCTTGTTGCGGAACCCACTTACAGTTCACAAAATACACAGCTTGGACTCGTTATGTGTTTTGTTCTACTAAGTATCACGCCACAAGAAAAAAAACATAATTAACTGATATAGACAATATAGACCCGATTTTTACTTTTTGGTCGCGCTATGCCGCGACAAATTTCCTCGTTCGCTCAAACTCGCGAATTAGCAATTTTGATTTGAGAAGGTCGGAACTTACCAAATTTGAGTAGCGGTTATCGCAATTTTACGTTGAAGTCGAGTACCTCAGCCGGAGCACTGAAGTATAAAAAAAACTAAAATCAATTTGAGTTATAGGGACTAAAACTATATACGCCCTTCTTCTGAATCTATACTATTGCGAAACCCGGACCAAATACAAAAAATGTTGTGTGTAATTTCAACTCAGCAGGAAAAGATTAGAAAGCTTGTCTTATTGTTCCGATCATTTAAAAAATGTGGATGAACTTTGTAATTGCGTGTGTTTTATTCTTTTTCATTTTGTTTTCTGCGCCAAATCAGGTACCACAAATAATCATTCAAATTTCTCGAGTTAAAAATCATGGTAAAGCCCTTTCAGTCATAAGTACAGTAAAAAGACCTTAAGATAAAGACAAAGCCCTTTCAAAGTTCACTAAAAATCCGATTTTTTTGTTGTTTGGAAAAACCGGTTGAATCTTTTTTTTGGGTCTAACTTCGAGGTATTAACGTGAGAATGCAGGCTTACAACAGCTGATGTAAGTTCATTTTAAGCTTACAATGTTTAATTTTTAACTTTATTAATTTAAAGTAACAAAAACTTCAATTGTTCAGCAAAAAAAAAGATAAAAAACTTCTGAAAATCCTTCAAATTTTATTTTAAGTTTTTTGTTTTTCTTTGAAATTTCGTTGATCAAAAAGTGACGTTGAGTTATGCGAGCGAGTGTTTTTGTAAAGTTATGAAAACTATTTAAATAGCCTTTTTGAAAATCCAAAAAGCTTTTTTCAAAACACTGTTGTATATCTGGTTTCACCAGCACCAAAATTTCTCGGATAAAAGTTAAGTTTATCGAGGGTACCTTGCCGAAAAGTTGCAATTATTACAAATATCGATTAATCTTTTCAGGAAATCGGTTCTTTTGTAAAAGCGAAAAAATGGATCATACATTCTCAACATAATCTATGTTTTTGTCATTAAGTTCCAAAAAAAATCTTTTTGTTTCGCTAAGTAATCGCAGCAAAATTAATTTTTGTCTTCAGAATCCGCAGAAAAAACTATTCGAAAACATGACTCACTGTATGTATGAACTATGTTTTAAATTTTGATTTTAAAAACGAAAGGAACCAACATGGATCCTTGAGACCATGAATTCACTAAAAAACTTTAAATAAGTCTCAATTTTTGCATTTTTTTAAGACATTGGAAGAATTTTAGATCCAAAACAATTCAAGGCAATAAGCTGAGTCAGAAACAAATAAATTAATCTGAAACCAAAAGCAACAAAAAGCAGCATTGCCATCATGAACTATTTAAAAACCATCAGTGAAAATTTTAACTTTTGCAAGAATTAAAAAAAAATTCTGATGTTTTTCAGTTTAAAAACAATCCAAAAGTTTTTGAGGCATAAACAAGCTTTTACTTCTACAAAAAAAAGAGCAAAACAGACAGCGTTGCAATTGAGATCATGAAAAAACTCAGAATGGTTAGTAGAAATTTCAATTTTGGCAAGACTTTTTTTCAAAAGCCTCGAGTTTTGAGTTTTGAAATATTATAAAAGAACATATTGGGGCATAAACAAACAATCAAATGTTGCAGCAAGAACAACTTATGAAGAGCATTGCGACCATAATTTTACTAATAAAAAAGTGTCAGTAAAAAGCTCGTGTTTTTTAGACTTTTTAAATAATTATGATGATTTTAAGCTCAAAACTAATCTTAGGCAAAAGTTTTAGACATTAACAAGCAATTTGATTTACAAACAAAAACTACATAATAGGAATATTTGCACCTTGAAAAAACTAGAATTTGTCTGTACAGAAATCAGTTATTGCTAGAAACTTTTAGAAACCCGAGATGGCTTTTCTTTATTTTTGCGCTATAGATCGAAAATAGAAAAGTAGATGATTTGAAAACAGTTTGAAAACAGGAAACGTTGAGACCAGTTTTTCTCGATTTTTTTAAGGAATCCGTATCACAATCAATAGAGCTCTAATATGATACCACATTTGACCCTCGATTTCCGACATATAGATATTCCACAAAAAGGATTAAAATAATTTAAAGAAGAGTTTGCTTTGAAAGCCGCATTTACCTAATCGAACATTTGCAGCATCTATTTTTCCATATTTTCATTTGGATTGTCTGAAACACTTGATCAGACTTCAGGGGTTGTTGCGATTTTGTACGCGTTGCCGTGATGTGAACATTTTAAGTTGTGATGCGTGAATAGTAACTTATTATCGACTGCTGATTCAGCCGAGCTGGCCCTGGCGGATTATGCGGAGTTTTTGCAGTGGCTGAAGACGGATCAGGGCTACCCTGACTGTAAAAACAGTCCAGTGGTGGTGTTCGGGGGATCCTACGGGGGCATGCTGGCCAGCTGGATGCGGATCAAATACCCTTTTCTTGTCATCGGGTACGTCAGACCAGCTTATGTCTCTTTCGTCCCCCTTCCCCAACCCTCCCCTCCCCAAACATACAAAATGGCTCTTTCCCGCGTCCAGGTGCTCACCACTTTATCTTTCGACCGTGCTCGGCCGAAAAAAATATGCCGACCGTACTCGACCGACTTCGCGTATGACCTGTGATCGACTTTGAAAGTCGAATCATAGAGTGAGCACCTCGACCCGGGTTTTCCCACTACTTCATATATACAGCTAATGTACATTGTAACTAGTGATTTTACAAATTTATGCTAAGCGCATAAAATGTTTAAAGCAGAGTACTCTCATATGATATTTTTCGCATGATAAACAAAAATAGTAAGAAATCGCAATTAGGGCTGAAATCAGCAGTTTTACAGGGCTTGCATGGAGATGGGTTCACTTCCCTACCCAAAAAAGAATTTAGTTTCAGTTTCCCATCCCCTCAAAAAAGTTAAAATCTGAACATGTTTTAAAATTGTTCTTAGAAAATTTTTCATAAAGGCAATTTTCAGTTCAAATAGAGTTTCGCAAATTGAATTTCCAAAAAAGTTTAAATGGAGGTCTGGAAAAGGGCCAACTTTCGTTCAAAAGAAGCAAAAAATTTGGTTTTGTTCCAACTCTTAAGCGAAAAACTGTTTGGTTCGATTTAATTTATGAGCTGAAAAAATGGTATTATTTCGAGTTAATGCGATCCAAATAGAAGTTTTTTGCTAAAAAGATAACAAGAGCAAAATTAGTTTTCTTGCCTAAAGATATAGCGGATTCAAAATAAAAGCTTGTTTTTTCGTTATAAACAACTGATGATTATCTTTCAGGGCTTGGGCTGCGTCTGCGCCTGTGGCCTGGTTCGAGAACCTCACAGACTGCAACGCCTACAACTCCAAAGTGTTCAGGGACTTCGCGGCTCATGGCGAGAACTGTCCCGTCAACATCCTCCGCTCGTGGGATCTCCTCAACCAGTCAGCACAGACTGGTTGGCACAACTTACTCTTTCCATTGCAACCAAATTGATTTTCCGACCTCTCCGAAACCGTTACAAAGACCCTATTTTTATCAAATTTTCCGCACAGCGAACAAAATTTAGAAAAACACGCCAATTGACGCTTTTAGGTTTTTTGGATTGTTTTGACCAAAAACAAAAAAATAGCGTTTTTTGACGCCCCCCGGTCCAAAAAAATGGTAAAAAACTGGCATCTTCAGAAAATATTAGGGTTGTTCAACCAAAATGGATGCCTTGAAAAGTACGAAAGGGGGATACTTTGAGTGGCCAGATGGGAGAACTCCTGAAAGGAAAAATCGAAATTGAACCGCCAAGCACCAACCCTTCCCTTAAGCACCCCCCTTGCTTTCAATTCCATACCTGTTTGAAATATGCAATTAATTCGTATGCCATATTAATGAAAACTTGACCATGTGACAAAGTTTTTTCCCTAAAATTACAAAATAAAACGGTACAAAGTTAAAAATTTGGTCGTTTTAAAGAGTGCGGGCTTCCAACCACCAGTTCTTTCGAGTGAAAAACCGCGATATGTAAATTACTGTGCGCCACTACCTATGACTCTAAATCGTTTTCATATTTCTTTTAACTTTGTGTTGTGTATAGACGAAGGTAGGAAGAAACTGCAGGAGTACTTTGACCTCTGTGACCCCTTGACAACTCCTGAGTCAGTCTACTCTCTGGCATATGAACTGGCAGATGCGTGGGGCAGTGTGGCCATGGTCAACTACCCCTACCCCACCGAGTTCCTACAACCCCTTCCCGCATGGCCAGTCAGCGTAAGCTAACATTTCAACCTAGAAATGACTCTAGTTCTACTCCACCGGATTCCTCCAACCCCTTCCAGTATGCCCAGTCAGCTTAAGATCTCGTTTCAACATAGACATGATTCAGATTCCGCACCACTGGATTCTTCCAAACCCTTCTGGCGTAGCAAAAGTCAGCATATGGTAACATTTCAACCTAGACATGATTCCGGTTCTATGCCACAGAGTTCCTCCAACCTCTTTCCGCATGGCCAGTCAGCGTGAGATCGCATTTCAACCAAGACATGATTCGATTCCAGTTCTACCTCATCGAGTTCCTCCAACCCCTTCCCGCATGACCGGTCAGCGTAAGATTGCTTTTCAACCTTGACATGATTCCATTTCTACCCCAGCGAGTTCCTTCTCCCACTGTCATCCGGCATGGATAGATAAAACTCCATACAAAACTTATTATGAATTTATATACCCTTTATGTTTTGATATTATATAACATTAATGTGTACTGGTCGATTGACCTTGATACAAGGACGAGAACGGTGTCTGAAGGTAACTACGGTTCAGAGAATAATTAACTCTTACCAAAGCAAGTTGTTTTAACTTATCTCTCTCAAGCGTGATATTATCTATCCATACGGATTCAATAACCAACTGTTCATACCTCGAGGAGTTGACGGTATGACATGGCGCAGCCACCAGGATTTTCGAAGAATCCACTTAACATAAATCCTTTTTGGGAACGAGCATCGGCTGAACCTCCACTAGAGTTGACGAAATGGGCGGCCATATTAGAAATGGCAGTATTCGCTAAAGACGGTATCGAAATTAGAAATCTATTACGAGCCCGCCCAACACTTGTTGAACCAGAGAGCCAGTATACGAGATTGAAATCAATGGTGAAACAGATGCTCAACGGAAGAACCGAGAGGTGCGCAACCAAGAAAAAAGAGTGCGAGGTGAAAAAAGGTGCGCAACCAAGTTTGAGAGCTATAATTTCATTTGTCGAAAACAAAAGAAAACGGAGAGTTTAGAATAGTTCCACGCTGACCTAGTGGAACTAGCTTCACGGGCTGATTGCGGCGACCGAGAAAGTGAGTGGGTAAGGTACATGTTTACCGCTCACATGAGAAAATTGCAGAGGAACTATTAGCCCAAACACGTACGCCGCAGGAGGCTTATGAATACGCGATCTGACGCGAAAAAGGAATTGAACACAGCCGCACAATGAAATCAAATCCGATCGGAGGGCAAACAGTTGCGACCCCAAAGCAAGAACCAATGCATTATGTCAATACACGTGGCAGACAAAACCAACAATTTAACCAAAATAATCAACGAGGCCGGGGAAGTTTTCGCGGTCGACCATATCCACATGATTCACAAAACACAAGGGGTCAACAATATCAACAACAACGAAACACAAATTCCAAACAATGTTTCAAATGTGGAAATCTATATGGTCCAAACCATCTAAAATTTTGTCCGGCCAAAGACAAAATTTGTTCAAATGCGCAAAACGTGGACAGTTTGCAAAAGTTTGTCGTTCCACTGACGTCAATTATCTAGGCAACAATGAGGAACAACAAGAAGAAACAGAAATAGAGAGCACGGGGACGGATACTGACCCGGTGGCTTACGCAGAGTTCACCACAAACAATGGTTGGGAAAACTACCAAATAGACGACTTGAAATTACCTGAAATTGCCATTATTGCTTGATAATGGCAATTTCAGAATCATTTGAGATTAAGGACACAAAATCAATATAAGAAGACGATTTGAATAAACACATTGTCAAATTGAGAACGAATACAACAGAATTATTCGCAATTGCTGACTCAGGTAGTCCAATGTCCTTTCTAAACGAAAAAACGGTTCAACGCTTACAACAAAACAACACATCGGCAATATTCAAAAAAATTCCCCCGGAGGATACAGCCCGAAATTTAGCGTGTTATAACGGTGAATATATTCAACCTAAGGGACGATTAATACTAAAGATTGAATCTGGGGGGTGGATTGAATCTGGGGGGTGGAGAGTTCAAACAGCTCTGTTCATTATAGCGGACAACCAAAAAGCCAATATATTAGGACGGAATCTATTACCACGCATTGGCATCAAACTAATTCAGGACAAACCAAATCAAAAGGTACTCAACGTACAACGGAGCGTCGAATCAAACCATGAGATTAAACAATGGGTCAAGGATAGCTTTCAACAACTATGCGTACGAATCGAAAAGTCCAAACATCACGTTATGAAAACCCAATTCAACAAAGATTTTGAACCAATACAACAAAAAGGCAGACGCATACCCATACACTTACAAGAAGGAATTGAAGCTGAACTAAACAAGTTGATTGATCAAAAACATATTATCAAACTTGATAAGTGTTCAGACAAACAATTTATCAGTCCTATAGTCATCACGGTCAAAACGGTTAAACTAGCACTGGATTCGAAGAAAATTAACAAATATTTACACAAAAACAAATATCAGATGCCAGACATAGATCTCCTGCTGGGCAATATCGCACAAGTAGTGAAATCGGACAATTTGAACCAAACACTATTCACAACACTTGATTTAAGATACGCATATTCACAAATCCCGTTGGATAAAACAACACGAGAACCATGCAACTTCAGTCTAATTGGGGGAAATGCCACCGGAACATACCAATTCCAAAAAGGATTTTGCGGCCTCACGGATATGCCAGCGGAATTCAAAAAGCAGTGGATTTGACACTCACAATTTGCAACAATACCAATGCATACCTTGATGATATTCTAATCTTAACAAAAGGAACGCTCGAGACTCATCGGTAAAAACTCCAGACGGTGCTAAGAAAACTCAACGAGGAAAATCTTGCAATTTCGTTGGACAAGTGTAAGTTCGCATGCAAACAAGTTGAGTGGTTGGGCTACACCATAAACAGTGAGGGAACTAAACCACTCATAAAGAAAACCGAGGCAATTGAAAAATTATCGCCTCCCAAAACGTTTAAACAACTCACAAGTTTCATGGGGTCAATACATCATCTTACAAGATATATATCAAATTTAGCACAAATAGCGGCAGCATTACGACCATTACTAAAAAACGCTGATAAGAACAGACCTATTAATTGGTTAACGGAACACAACTCAGCTTTTCAAAACATTCTACAACTCGTGGCAAAATTCACACAAAATAAACATTATGATCAACATTTAGAAACTCGCATCGTCTGTGATGCATCTAATACAGGTTTAGGAGCAGCATTAGAGCAACATTCAACAGAAGGTTGGGTTAGTTATAGCTTATGCGTCACGTTTCTTAAATTCCCTTGAGGAAAAATAGTTAGTAAATGAACTACAATTATATTATTAGGAGTTGTTTGGGCAATTGAGCAATTCAAATATTATTTGAACGGCAAAAATTTTACTGTCATCACTGATCATCAAGCATTAATTTGCGCATTAAGCGCCAGCGAACGATCAAAGACAAGTCAAAACCGTCTCACCCGCTGGATGGATAGATTAATACCATTTCATTTTGATATCAAACATCTCGCAGGGAGTAAAATGGGATCAATAGACTATATGTCACGAAATCTGGTTGGATTACCCTTACCCCCCAGCAAGTATTATGAGGAATTTGTAGTTGCGGTAATTACCACATTCATAAAAAACTTGGAAATGATTGACAATGTCATCCTAAATCAATTAGCCAATCAAAACAAAGCACCATGTGATCTGATCATAAAACGCGCGGAAAACAAATGGCTATTAGATATTAAAACAAACGCTCAATTAACAACTAAACACTCCAAACATTCCATCAACGGTCAATTGCCACCCAAAAACAGAATTCAGTCTAACTTAAACTCTGTTCAAAATCAGTCAACATTTCATTCAGCTCAGAATCAGTCAACACTCTCGCAGTCAAAAATTCTTCAATTCAACGAGCGATTGACCAACACAAAAAAATTCCAAAAAATAAGTCGAAAAGATACGAGAAATTTCACAGGTGGCTTCATTCCGAGCGATCAAAAAACCACCAAACCACGCGGCCGTACAGTTTCGGTCGATTGAACGATCACATCAGACCGAGAAGAAAGTCTCTCCGACCCAAGGTGGCACAAACGACCCCCAACAAAGGAAAAGCGGATGAATAAAACCAAATCATCACCGCAATACCAACCAACCACAAAACTGATCGACGCAAGAAATTTGATCACAGGAATGAAAAGTAGAAAATTCCCAAAGATTTTTTTGGAGACACCACAACAGTAACAAAAGGAGACAGTTCACAAAAAACTGTGCCACTAATAGCTCAAGCAACAATAGCTACACAAACAACGCTGCAAAACAAGATGAAAGAGAACAAATCATCTACATCAACTCAAACAAATAGCAACACCGAAAATCAGCCGATCGAACAAGAAATATGTGTCAGCCGCTTGAATCCTAATGTATGTCTACAAGAAGACACATCACCGAACGTGGAACCCCCGACAATGACTACTTCACTACAACTCGAGGCCAGCCACCCAGAAATAATGGACACCGTGGTGGCAACTGTTGAATAAGCCACTGAAACCGAGGAGGACACGCCTTTATTTCGGCGTAAACTGCAAAAAGTGCTGGGAATCTCATTCATCGCTGCCGCCACCAAGAAAGACAGAAACTTAGGGCCACTGATAAACTTCGTGAAAAAGCGGGACTGGGATGCCATCAAAGCTTCATACGGACAGTACTGGTTCAATATACGAAGTCGCCTTGTTCGAGAGGACTGTCTTCTCAGATGAAAGGATCGTAATTCCTTCGCAGCTCCGACAGACAGTACTGGATAGTCTTCACCTCACACATCCGGGATAGGAAGCCATGTTGGATCTGAGACAACATGTTTGGTTTCCGCACATTCATTGCTCAATTGTGCAGATGGCACAAAACTGTAAACAGTGCACGGAGCAAGGTAAAAATTTAAAACCCATCCTAGGCAAAAATCCTAGACATGGAACCGGTGGTCG